TCTTCTACAACGCACTCAAAATTCTCCTCAAAAAACCAACAAGCTTCAAAACAGAAAGGTTTTTTACCTCGTGGCAGTTCGGATGGTCTCTGACCTAGTGAGATTTGTATTGGTTTGTGGTTGGAGCCGAAAAACTCAAGAGAACGAGTGTGAGCCGATGGATATAAATCACACCACACCGAAGAGCAAACAAATCGATCTAATTTCTCGAAGATTAAATTTTCAGTTGAGCGGCGATTAACCCACGTAAATGGGTCCCCTTCACTGTATATATTCCGTAATTCACAAATTTCTATCGTTTCCCGAAAAGCATCCATGTGTGAAGCGGCCCTACATCTTCCCTTCCCCCACTCTTCTCACTGAGGAAACATATCTCATTAAAGTCTCCACCAACTAGCCACAGCAGATGTCTGAGATCCGCGTCATTTCTCAGTTTGCATAATAACTCCCAATATAATTTTCTATTAGCAGCCATCGGATCCCCATAAAAACCCGTAAATCTCCAAGCTCTATCATCATCCTCAATAAACCAGGCGATATCCCTGATGGAAAAAGACTTAATATGTACAATAAATGGTCTTTCCATAGAATAGCTAGCCCCCCACTTTTGCCCCTACAATTAACAACAAAAGAACCTGAAAAACTAAGCACAAACCTCCAATTAGAACTTTTTTTCACCGCCACTTTCGTCTCACTGAGAAATAACATGGACGGTTTCTTCTTATCAACTAGGCGGCGGAGATTATTGAACGCATGGGGATTACCCAACCCCCGTGCGTTCCAGCATATACAACTCATTGTTTTTGGCGGGGTTGCATAGCAACCTCCGCCAAATCTGTACAGCTTATAAGAGAAGTAGTATCAATTCCACTTTTCTGAATATGGACTTCAAGAGTTTATCAGGCTCGGTGTCTTCAAATTTTCTTTTAGTAAATCCCTCACTTGTGGTAGTAGGGATTTCAAGTGATCCACTCGCCTTATCACATCGACTCGTTTGCCTCCACTTTTTGGGTGGTCGGGCTAAAGAGTTTAACGACTCTGTCTGAGTTTCCTCACAAATTAGTTTCAGAGTTGATGGCATCGGTTCAGCAGGATGTGTATTCAAATTTAGTTGGACGATATGGATATTTTGCTGCACATTAATGGCATCTAACATTTTCGGATCGTGGTAAGGCTCAACGAACTTATCAGAGAGCACTAGATTGTCTACCTCATGATGTTTTTCAATATTCATGAGCACTTGGTCGTCAGTAGATGTCTCGCAAGTTTCTGGCTTAAATTTATCCCCCGATGAGCCCGCGCCGTGATTAGATTTTGACGAGCTTGCTGGTGTGTTCGTAAATGAAGGCCGACTATCTTCCCAATTCTTCTTCCCAACGAAGTGATTAGATGCTTTCAACCACGCGCCAAATGAGAGATTAACCCGGTCCGCTTCTAAATCCTCACATTCCTTCAGAACATGTCCTATTCTCCCACATGAATAACAAAAATCAGGAAGTCTTTCGCAGACCAAGAGAACATTCACTTCCTCTTCTAGATTAGCCACTCGAGCACTTACGAAATTTTTCAGAGGCTGAGATAGTTGTATCAAAACCCGAACACGTGCGAATTTTCCCCAGCAGTTGCCCCCTTCTCCCTCGTCTATTTCAGAGACTACTCCTACTTTGGAGGCGGTAGCTTCTAGGACTCTCTTGTTCATAAACGCAATAGAGAGGTTATGCAATTGAACCCAAATACTGATACTTTCGAAAGGAACCTCTCTAGGATTTTAGAGACCTTTGATTTTTGAAATAGAACAAGGTTGCGAAACAGGTTCCAAGGCCCTTCCATGAGAGTCTGTCGTATGTCCAAATTGGATCTGAACTCCTGAATAAACAAGTTCTCCCCTACCTCTTCAATGTCTACACCTTTTGAAAAATTTAGGATTCTTGGCATTTGTTGCTTAAATACCTCTTGATTTATCAGCTTCGAAGAAAAAATCTTTGCCAAAAGACAACGATGCACTCGGCCAGCCTCGCAATCAACCACATATGATTCTAACACTATTGTGTCTTCTTCGCGAACCCTCGCTTTCTTCATTTCCTCTACCAGACGGGAAATCTCGTTGGAATCCATAAATAAAGTACTCCTACGCCAACTCGAAGGATGGAGTGATGAAAGAACTGCCTCAGTAGAACCCTAACTACTCTCTGCTCTCACCAAAGAGGGGAAAACAAGAGACAGAATCGACGACATCTATTTTTGAAATGAATATAATGTAACTTATTTTCAGTTACTTGCACCGCACGGGTCGTGTACTAATCTTAATTAGACATGTTTTATGTAATTATGCACAATTTAAATTTCATATAATATTCTCAACAAATTAATATAGGTAAATTTCATAACATGTTGATTCCATATTTCTATATTATAAATATTATTTAATGACAATTTGTAATTTATAAATATTAATAAATATTTCTTACCCGTGCATCGCACAGGATTCATACTAGTAGTAGATGAAAGAACATGTCGAAATTGACCATCAAACTAAAGGGCTAATCAAACGGGTGATATCATTGTTGTATTAAATAAGCGCACTACACAAGGACAACACGGACTATGAAGCGTCAACGATGACATTTGAGTTGACGCGGTTGGACAGGTGGCTGGCATTTGAATTTTGAATTTTGGAAAATAAAGCCCCGGCAAAAGATCAAATATATTCAATGGGGTCAAGAAAGAGAAAGGTGAACTAACCTACCAGGAACAAGGATAGTCGAATTCGTTCTTAGATCGAGTTACCTTAACTCAACCAAAGTGGGGGGGACCAAATGATATGGGATACCACACCAGATCGACTAGACCCGAGAGACAACCTAACTGAACCGGGTGAACCGACAGGTCAAGCATAAACCAAAGACGCTACAGGTCGGCAAGTTCTCAAGTCGAGCAGGACATCGAGGATTCAAGGAGCACAGACAGATCGAGCTAGGGACCTCGGATGGCCTAGTTTAAACTCGACCTGAAAGCATGACTGGTCGTAGGGAGTAGAGACAGGTCGAGTTAGGGTCCTTTAGGCCATCTCAGACCCCAATGCTTCATTCTATGGGCTTAGAAAACTTATCGGCAATCCCCGTTCCAGCAACAGTTCCAAGTAACCCAGCGGAGGTCAAATCAAGCTAGGAGATCATGGTTTCAGCCTAAACGTAGCCAAATCTAGCTGTGGTCTTGTCGATGGGACCATTGAAGAGCACAAGGGAGCCAACAGGTCAACAGCTTGTTACGATGATAAAGGGGGAGCTGAGCAGGATGATCGCCAATGTAGTGGCGGCCGGGTACGCTCAACAGCAGGTGTCCAACACGGTTACTGTTACTGCGACCACAACGTAGGCTACGGAGGTCCAACAGTCGAACAACTTTGGTGAAGGAGCAGATCGTGATCTCATGGTGGATAGAATGACCGAGAAACTAAAGGAGCTGCAGGCCAAGGTGGAAGGAAAGAAGTCGGGGAGAGCTCGAGGTCAATCATTCACGGAAGATTCTTGATGCTAACCTGCTAAATGGTTTCTGCAAGCTTACTATCACATATGACGGGTCTACAGACCCAACTCGCACTTGCAGTCCTTTGAGATTATGGTTGTGTTCCAAGGGTACTCGGACGCGGTGAGTTGTCGAGCATTTCTGGCGACCTTACGAGGGGATGAGCAAGGTTGGTTCCATCAGCTCACCCGACGTTGAGTTTGTGCAGGTATTGAAGGTCGTCAACTAGCGAGAACGGCCATTTAGGTTGAACCGAGCCAACCTGAGGTCTTTTCCATACCACTGTGCTTTGTGTTGCATCAAGTGAAATATCATCTCTTCTATTGTCGGGTGGAAGAAAGGCACACTCTAGCTTTGGAATACTTCTTAATCTTCATGAAACCTTATCATGCGAGATCAACCATGTCAGCCTTGTGGCAGAGCTTATTATACGGCATTCCCTCATCATATGGGACGAGGCAGCAATGATGCATAAGCATTATTTTAAAGGTCTTCAAGCGTTATTTCAGGAAATCATGGGAACTTCAACCCGACTGACCATTGTAAATCATTTGGGAGCAAAACTATTGTTTTTGTGTTAAGATTCCCAGAAAAGTATGCTGGTGATTCCAAAGGAGAACCGCCAAGAGATCATTAATGCTTCAACCATTTGGCAAGATTGTATTGTATTTAGGCTAAAAAAATACATGTGTCTTCAGTGTCGCCGGTAATGCCCAATTTCAAAGATAAAATTCAGATTTTCAAATCGCCAGTAAAGCCACCTACACTACAACATAAATGGCTTTAGGTAGCATCAAAAAAGTGATACTTAAAGGCTATAAAATGTTATTATAGGCAATAGGTAACATAAATATTGGCGCTACCATTGCTTATGCTATCTATTATCTATGATAACACTTACAGTAGTTATTAGTTGCACTTAATTTATGTGTTACGTTGTATAATCTAATGTAGCACTTTGAAATAACATTTGTTAAATGTTATCTATAATTTTTTATGTATCACTTATTTTTTATCAAATGTAACATTTATTCCGTCGCACTTTTGATTGGAATGTAACATTTTCTCAGTAGCATTTGTTAAATGATAACATTTTCATATATCACTTTTCATGTTTTTACTGTAACGCTTGTACGTAATTTTGTAACACTTTGCAATGTTACATGTATTACTTTTTTTAGAGCTAATGTAACACATTTTTTTTTATTAATTATGATTTTTTGGTAACAAATTTGATGATTTCGTATTCATTTAGTTCATTGCACGTGGCAACATATCCATAGTATTTGATAATAATACATCACCAACAATCAAATTAAACTCGACAAATAAATATCATGAAAAGTTTTTATTATTACTTATAAAAATCATGCATCAAAATTCAAAACATTAACTGGAAATATAACCAAAATATAGACCAAAAGCACGAACATCTCTAAACATTGTTCAACAAAATAATAATAAGTTTAGCACCCTAAATCGTCACCTTCACTTCTTAGCTCTCTTCCTTCGATGCAATCATTATCAACTTGAAGTGGGATAGATTGTGAGTTGGCTCCACTATTATCATCCTGAAAAAAGACATTCATTTAAATGATACAATCAATATTAAATCAATCTTTTAAAATGAGATAGAAATATCCTTAGAAATTACACATATAACATATAGTCATATGCAACTGAGAAAGGATGGAAAGATTAACTTTGGTCATGCCAATGTAAATAAATAATAAGAAAGAATGAACTATAACTAAAAGTGATGGGTCTACTTCTGGATCTGCAGTAAACCGGTGGTTGTGAGCTCAGATCTGCTTGAACCGCCTTGAAACCGTTGCTAGACCGCCAGAATACCTGCAAAAACTCAACGCCGGAGGTGTTTCCGGCGTAGAGCCTCCGACGCTCAAGTCAGTATGAGAGTGATGAGGAGAGGCTGCGCAGCAGCTATAGGGAGAGTGGGAATGAATGAGAGTTAGGGTTTAGGGTTACCTCATCTCCTTTATATAGGAGTGAATACTTACGCGAAGTGCCCAAAGTACCCCAATCGGTGGACCTAGAAGGTCCAAAATGCCCTGGTCGATTCGTCTCCCCTTAGTGCTGAGTCACCACAAGATTCCTTCTTATCCTTCCTAATGTGGAATGCGTCGGATATGTCGCAAGTATGGTGAGTCGTCATCATGTCTTTGTTACTTAAGGCATGTGAGGTCGACTTCGAGATCTAGGAAGTCGACTCGTGGATATGCACAGATTCGGAGGCTACGCTTGCTGTTCAGTCCACTTCGTCATCATGTCTTAGTTCAGTCGACTTCTGGTAGTCGACTTAGAATATCTAGATGACCGGGAGCTGCTCTTGCTGTTCCTCTTTCATTGATGTCGATTAGTGAAAGTCGATAGATTAAGGTCGACTTGCGAGAGTCGACTAGATCAATCTCTGCTTCTTCTTGATTGCTCTTAGTAGAATCGACCTTTGGGAAGTCGATTTGGGCATGTCGACGGAGTCATGTCGACATGCGGGTAATTCGAGTGGTTTGCTGGTTGAGTAAGGAGCTTCTGGACCGGGTTATCATTATGTGGCTATATCAAAAAGCTTATTAGGGATTCTCTTTATATAGTTATTGATTCGTTCCACAAGATCAAACAATCCTAAAACCAAATTTTAATTTCAGAAAACAAGCAATCAAACCAAACTATCATATCTATTATATGATTGCAAATGAGTAACTAAACCAAACTATCATATCTATCATATGATCGCAAATGAGTATTGTTTTTATACAAAATATTAGCCATATTCAAATCAAATATTCAAATAATTATTTCTTCAACATAAATATATCAAACTCAAGAATCCAAATGTATGATTAAACAACTAAAGATCTTACCTCCAGTAATTCTTTGTCATTGGTGTCTTTCAAGAGTTTGGCGATCATTGAGTGATGAGGTTATTGAGGCCAATATGTCAGGGGAAATTTGAACTTTTAATAATTTCACCACTTCCTTTACTGTCTCTTTCACAATCTGAGATTTATAAGGCTGTAGAACTTCATCAGGAATAAGTTGTACACCAAACTTAGGAGGTTGTTCTTCATTTTTGGTAGGCTTGCCCAAAAGTTTTCCTTTTCCAACTTCTGGTAGTTTTTCCACCTGATTATGCGAAATATTAAAAGAATCTATAAAAATAATTATATGAATTCAAGTATAATACAACTTACATAAGATGTCTTGTATTTTCTCCCATCACTCCTTTTGCGAGTTTCCATGTACATGGTTGCTAAAGAAGGTGGCTTTTTTTCAACTTGTTCATGTAACAAAATAATATAGCATTAAAAACACTAATATTCTAGTTATTGATTAGCATACAATGTAATAATAATTAAAATTGCTATTTAGAAAAATAAAAAGTTATATTGGTAACATAAAAAACGTATACAATTCTTTACCAACTCATGTCGTTTTATTGCGAATGAAAGAGGACCCATAGTATGTCTATCTTTCTGGGCTTCACTATTGTTTTTATTCTTCTCACTTTTTTCCTGTAATGAGACAACATTATAATTAATTTCTCCATATATATATATATATATATATATATATATATATAACACAAACTACTACAAATACCTTAACCTCCTCTAAATTCCAGTAATTCAATAAATCCTTAAATTGTGTATCTGAAATTGATTCTGGTCGACCATCCCATCTATCTTCATCGTTGTCATACTGAAAGTAGTGCTTTTTCTTTATTCTAGATTTGTGAGCGCGCCAAAGAGCACCAATTGAAGATAACACATACTCTTTCCCTTCATCCGAAATAATGAATTTCTTCTGAAACGTATTTCTTGTATTCATTACCACACCTAGTGCTTTCTAACAATGTGCTATTCCAAAAATATAATCAAAAACACAAAAAATGTGTATAGAGAACCACCAAAGAAATTTTAAAGAATTGTACCTTCACATACTCCCAGAGTTTATTTTTGTCAGGAACATGACGCCAATCAAGAAAATTCAGCGGTGCAAGAACAGAATCTCTAGCCAATGAACCACAAAACTGGCTAAATTTGCTTAGAGTGCCTTTATCAGGACCAACTGGCTGGCGCTTTTCATTCAAGAAGATGGGTCGTCGATCGTTTAGGTTCCAACTATTAACTTCTTTACATATAGTTGGTCACTTTTGGCAGAACTACACAAAGTTCAATATATTTGATTGAATAGTGTATGAAAATTTTATGCTAATGTGTAAATATATGAGTTATGCAATAAGCATCTACTCCAACATTTCAAAGAAACCAAATGACTAATGATTAAAGGTAAGAGATATATTAAATTAATTTTTATGCTTACCATCTCGATCAAGCTGTTTATCAGCTATCTGGGTGCTTTCATTGGTATTGAGGGCAAGTCGAGCTGCATTTAGTTGTTCTTCAGCAACATAATCGTCACCTGAGCTTTGGAAGTCCTCATCTTCATCAACTAAACCAAACCTCCATCCGTTATCATCTTCCTTTTCACACACTCTTGAATAGTTTTCTGGCGGGTTTTGTGTGTTTTCCACTAGCTGGTTTAGAGGGTCATTTTGTTTGGAAAGCTGAAAATTTGTGTAACGCCCCAAAACAGTAATAATATTCAGAACGGTTTCACTACTCGACTATAAGTGAAATCCGTAATTTTCAGAAATTCTCAAGTTATATTTATTGTGCTAAATGCTCAATTATGATAAATTATTCTTGGAATAATTATATCTCAAGTATAAGTTAAGATTATAATCCATTAATTTGGGTTGGTAAATAATAGCAAGTCAATTCGAGAATTGATCGACTCCGAACCCTAGTTTGGTTCCGAGTTAATTTTCGGGTAAACCCCGAGCATAGCCAAGTATTGGTATTTTTATACTTAGAATATTTTTCTAAGTGTATAAAAATATCAAAGTATAAGTATTGATCATTTTAACCGAGCCCTAGTCCTTACCCAAGCCGCTCGTGCCGAGTTCTGCACCCGCTCATCGAGCCGCGCCCAACCGAGCTTAACCACGCCCCAAGACATGTCCTAAGTCCTAAGAATCATTTTGCAATTTTTCTAAGTGTTGGAAGCCCTTCCCAACCCTTTCAACTCGGTCCAAGACCATTTTCCCGCGAACAGCCCGTGCCCGCGCAGCCCAGCCACGCCCTCGCGCCCAGCCCCAGCCCAGCGGGCAGCCTGCCAGCCCACTTTCTTGAGCCCAAATGCATTAATTCCGGCCCACTTTCCCCATGACCCAAGAGCTGCGTTTAATTAGGACTTAATAAGGATTTGTTTGAGCTAATATGGCCCTAAGCAAGGTTAAGGGAAAGTCAACCATCATTAGCCTTAGTGGGGAGCATGGGCATGAATTGTTTATCAAGAATTTTTGTCCTTGTTCCCTAGTCTTGGACAAGACTGACCAGACCCCTTGTGACCTAATAAAATACTCTGAAAACCACCCATAATGCCCACTAAACCGAGCATAATCAGGTCAAAGCTTGTCCAAGGTCTTGGACCAAAATTCCATGCGCATGTGATGCCATTTTCCACATGTTTGGTCTCCCACCAGCCCACCTAGTAAGCTCCGTCCCTCCCATCTATTTAAGACCCATTTTCCAGTCGTTAGAAGGCCTTTGGTCTTCAGTTGCTCGAGCAAATATTGAAGGAAGTGTTAGAAAAATCGAAACTAAGGCAACCAGCCCTTGCTCGCGCCCAGCACCCCGGGAAAGAGGAGCAGCGAGGTCCAGGCCCCTACAGCCATAATCTATCGAGGCTTAACACTATCTAAGTATACCGTATATTTTTCTAAGTCTCTTGGAGGTGTTTGACACGAGCAAAACACAACCTAAGTCCAAGCCAACCCCTAAAACCGTGACCAACACCCTTTTAAGCCCTAACATCCGTTTTCCATTCTCAGCCAAGGTTAGCTCGTGACTTATGAGTTCCTTAATTATTTTATGATATTTTAAGATTTTTTATGAGTTAAAATCGAGCCATGCATGCTTTATTATGTGATTTCGGAATTTAATGAAATTAATGCCTTAAAAATGAAATTTGAGTAGGAAGCATGCCTAAGTCGAAAATGTGGGTTAGATCACCCTTAAATATTGTACCATTGATGCTGTAAAAATTTGAGAATTAAATGAGATCACTACCTTAGTCAAATCATGCTTAAATTTATGTTAAAATGAGCCACCGAGGTCAATCATCATGCATGCAAGATATGATATGAGTTCTAGCCCCTATAGCAATGATTTAACATGTTAAACATTCGGCCCTGAGTAGTTTACCAAATTATAAATGTTGGTTCGGGAAGTTAACCTACTCGGTCATGCCAATTTAAGCCTTGCCGGGTAGCATGCATGTGGACCTGGGGTCCACTAGTGATTTATGTGTTAATTGTACTTATTTTATCATATTATGATGTATGGTCATGCATGTTGCCGGAATTAGTCGCCGGAGGTCCGGCAAGGGCCGACCTTGGTCACCGTCCGCGCATATAGCGCGGCAGTGCCCGGCCAGGGCCAGTGCGTACCCGCGCCAGCGTGCGCGTGGTACCCGAGTCCGCGACAACGTGCCAACAGCGTGATGAAGGATCGTGTGTTACGTCTAGCTCGATTCGCTCAAAACCCGCGCCGACGCCTTGGTTCCTTTGTGATAGGTTGCTAATACGCGCGCCGACGCCTTCATACTTCACGATACATGTGACGAAACTTGGATGTTGGTCCTATTCCAATCACTGTGACGAAACTTGGATGTTGGTCCTATTTCTATCACGAACTCTATGTAAACTCACAAGAGAAAACACACGAGAACTTTGAACACAATGTTCGACTCTTTTCTATTCACTTCAACCATATTTTCGAATGGTACATAGGTGGGTATTTATAGATACCAAATAGATCTAATCCTAGTCTAGATAGAACTCCTAATCTATGCAAGTAAATAATTCCTAATGCAACTAAACATCTAGGGAATATGGACTTTCCTAATAATTAAAAGACTATTAGGCACATGCCTTTTATTTGGACTCCTAACCAAACTAATATTCCTAACTATGCTAAGTAAATCATGTGCCAATCACCTTTGCTTGCTCGTCAAGTCGTCGCGCGCCAAAACCCTAGCCTCCCGCGTATTCGCACCGCCCGCTAGTCCTGGTCGCGCAAGGCATCGGTCGCGTCCCTGCCGCACGCGCGCGCCCTTCCCGCGTCACGTCTTCGCGCCCCAGCGCCTGCGCGTGTCCGTCCCTCGCGCGAGTGTCGCGCACGCCTGCTCGCTCGGCGTCCCTCTCTCGCTCGCCCATCGCTCTCCGCGCGTTCTTGCCACCTGCGCGGTTCTCGCACACGCTCGCCTCGTCAGCCTCATCGTCCCACTCGACCAGCGCCTCGCGCGTGACCTCCGTCATCGCGCCCCACTCGCATTCGTCCATCGGGCTCATCCCGACACCCCAATCCTCTCGCGTGTCCGTGCCATCACAGCCGTCCCAAGTGCACGCTGTCCACCCTACATCCACCCCTCGTGCACCAATGGCTTTAGCTTGCATTCGTCGTGCGCGTCGCTCTCTTGCGCACGCCTTGCACCAATCACCCAACTTCCCTGGCACAATCTTCTCACTCTCGTCGTCGGCCCAAGCCTCGTGTTCACGCGCACTTCCTGTCGCGCACCTCTTCTTCACCCGTCCTAGACTCGCACGCCTCGCGGCTCGGTTGCCGCGTCCCGCCGGTATACGCGCCTTAGTGCGTGCGCACACCCTCCTAGCCCGTGACCGAGCCCTTTCTCGCCTAACCTCTCGCCATCTCTCGAGGCCATCGTGGTTCTCATCCTCGGGTTCGCCGGGGTCAATGACCACATCCGCATCATTCCCGCCCTCTTCGAGAATTTTCTTGTCCTCAAGGATAAAGTAATTGATCTCGTCAAGTTCTTCGGGCTCTTCTCCTGGGTCCTCAGTTAGCACCTTCATTCACTTCTGGGCTCGCCCATATGTCATAGTGCCCCTCTTGTAGTTTGTCGTGACAGGTCCCAATGTCTTGAGCCATTGAACTCCCAATACTATGTCCGGTCCCGTTAAAGGTAAGGCATAAAGATCCGCCTTCAAGTCATAGCCTTGTGTAAATATGGGAACCCCTTTGTATAGCTCGGAACTCCTTAGTTCATCTCCGTTGGCAACCTTCATCCCGAACTGCTTTACTTTTGTCATCGGCGTTTCCAATCCTTTGGACAGCTCTTTGTCTATAAAATTTAATGTCGACCCACTGTCCACTAGTACTTCGAGCTGTTCGCCTAGTACGGCCGCCGTGAATCGGATCATCCTCGGACCTCTCTCAGCATCTCTTTTCTTGCTTTTGATCACATGTAGCAAGGTCTCCTTGTGCTCGTACTCTTCACGTTCCGGCTTACCTCATCAAACTCAAGCAAGAATACTTGCTTTCCAGCACATCTATGGCCCGGTGTGAACTTCTCATTGCAAGTGAAGCATAAGCCTTTCTCGCGTCTTCGTTGGATCTCCTCGGTTGTAAGCCGTCGCATATGGCTCGTGGTTCGCGTGCCATCTTCAGCTGGTTTGGACTCGACTCGTGTGTGCGTCTCGTCGGTCGCGGTACTTGTGTGCCACGGGTCCGTGCGTCCATCACCCTTGCTGGCCTTGCGCATCGCGACCAAATGGTCGTCGCGTAGCCGTGCCGACTCCATTGCCGCCCGTGTTGTACGCGGCCTATCCAGTCGTACCTCCGCCGCTAGCTCGGCTTTAAGTCCGCCAATGAATGCGCCTACCAATGTGCTCTCGGGCCAATCTCTCACCCGACTCGCAATGCGTTCAAACTCCTTTTGGTAGTCTCGGAGGCTACCATTCTGATGAATTCGGGAGAGCGCCTCGTCATAGGCATAGTAGTCACTCGCGCCAAAACGTGTGACCAACTCTTTCTCGAAATCTCTCCACCGAATGTCCTTGCCTTTGGTCTTGTACACACGTGACACCCATTGCCACCATGTGTTCGCTTTACCATCGAGATGATAAGCGGCGATCTTGACTCTCTCGGACTTGTGCACATCATTGATATCGAAAAATTGCATGGCTCGATTTAACCACGCGTCCGGGTCGGTCCCCGTGAACGTAGGCATCGTGAGCTTTGGTCGTGCATAGCCTCGGTCGTCGTGGTGATGCATCGCGCGTCATGCGCGGGTTCTCCGTGATCGTCCGTCGTCGTCTTCGTGGTCGGTCCCGGGGCTGCTCGATGCCGCGGTCGATCGCGAGGTGTGACTCCTTCGCGGTCGGCGTGTCATTCGCGTGAGTTGCCCGGCTAGATCATGCATCATGAGCTCGAGTTTAACGAAATTCTCTTTGACAAGGTGTTGGCCATTGCCGATGGACTTCAAACTCTCCTCCAAGGCTTCGATCCTCTCTTTATGTGTCATCATGACTCGACTCTTTTTTTTTTTTTTTGATACTCTCGAAACAAAAGAAAAATTCGAAAGAAAGAAAATAGAATGGGGAAGAAAAAGTTCAACCCAACACACGATCAATCACTCTCAATGAAAGCACCAATGATGAAGGATCGTGTGTTACGTCTAGCTCGATTCGCTCAAAACCCGCGCCGACGCCTTGGTTCCTTTGCAATAGGTTGCTAATACGCGCGCCGATGCCTTCGTACTTCGCGATACGTGTGACTAAACTCGGATGTTGGTCCTATTCCAATCACTGTGACGAAACTTGGATGTTGGTCCTATTTCTATCACGAACTCTATGTAAACTCACAAGAGAAAACACACGAGAACTTTGAACACAATGTTCGACTCTTTTCTATTCACTTCAACCATATTTTCGAATGGTACATAGGTGGGTATTTATAGATACCAAATAGATCTAATCCTAGTCTAGATAGAACTCCTAATCTATGCAAGTAAATAATTCCTAATGCAACTAAACATCTAGGGAATATGGACTTTCCTAATAATTAAAAGACTATTAGGCACATGCCTTTTATTTGGACTCCTAACCAAACTAATATTCCTAACTATGCTAAGTAAATCATGTGCCAATCTCCTTTGCTTGCTCGTCAAGTCGTCGCGCGCCAAAACCCTAGCCGCCCGCGTATTCGCACCGCCCGCTAGTCCTGGTCGCGCAAGGCATCGGTCGCGTCCCTGCCGCACGCGCGCGCCCTTCCCGCGTCACGTCTTCGCGCCCCAGCGCCTGCGCGTGTCCGTCCCTCGCGCGAGTGTCGCGCACGCCTGCTCGCTCGGCGTCCCTCTCTCGCTCGCCCATCGCTCTCCGCGCGTTCTTGCCACCTGCGCGGTTCTCGCACACGCTCGCCTCGTCAGCCTCATCGTCCCACTCGACCAGCGCCTCGCGCGTGACCTCCGTCATCGCGCCCCACTCGCATTCGTCCATCGGGCTCATCGCGACACCCCAATCCTCTCGCGTGTCCGTGCCATCGCAGCCGTCCCAAGTGCACGCTGTCCACCCTACATCCACCCCTCGTGCACCAGTGGCTTTAGCTTGCATTCGTCGTGCGCGTCGCTCTCTTGCACACGCCTTGCACCAATCACCCAACTTTCAGGGCACAATCTTCTCACTCTCGTCGTCGGCCCAAGCCTCGTGTTCACGCGCACTTCCCGTCGCGCACCTCTTCTTCACCCGGCCTAGACTCG